CACAGATTGCAGGAGGACAGTAAAAGAATAGCCCTGCTTAGTTCCAAATACAGACTAAGTAGATTTCTCTTAGCATGGCTGTTGGTGGAATATAATAGGGGCAGCTGTCTGTGGCCCCATACTCAATGGCAGGGATCTCAAGTCTCCCTGATGTTCAGGGAGTCTCCCTCTTTTGGACAGCAGCTCCCTGATGTCCGCGAGAGAGGCATTTTCTCCCTGAAAGGTTATATATAAAATCATTATTATTTATTTTATATTCTGACGACAGCCGCTGTAAAAAAACCAACCCAAAAAACAGAAAGGGAACCTCCCTGAAATGAGATGGGAACCTCCCTGAAATAAGGTTTTGCAGGTTGGGATGTCTGCAATGGTGGCCCATGGGTAGTCTCAAAAATTCTGCAATTTTGTGCTCTTCATAGTAAATCAATTTTCTAAGACTTTAGAAGCCCAGTTTCGGCAAGTTCCAGTTTCCTGGCCATAACACTGATTTGCTGGCTGCTTAAAGCGGAACTACAATCTCCTATCCCTCACAGCCAAGGGAGGCGCCATCTTAGCCTCTTATCAGAGGCACGTTCAGTTGCTCAGCTGCTGCGAGTGCTGAGTTAGCAAACCGGCACTGAACGTTGTGCTGCAAGTCAGCGCTCAGCACTGCTCATTTAGCACTCACAGCGGAAATGAATGTGGATGCAGAGTGCTGAGTGTGACCGGGAAGGTGGCGACCGAGCACCAGTGGCCATTTTAATTGTGGACACACCTGGCAGTGCTGGAATAAGGCGCCTGAACCCCGATGGAGGAAATCAGTTCAGTTTGGGAACCTACAATTTGATGTTTTGGTGGACAAGCACAGTAAATATTCATTGGAAAATGGTATTTATTAGTCAGAAATATTATCCTCCGCCATTTTGCTTAGTACTGTGCAGCCGAAGCGTTCAATGAAGCGCTGCAGAACAGCTACTCAGTGCTTGGCTAAGGAACTAAACTTGCCTCTGGATTGCAGTTGCCATGGTGCTGCACATGTGATCAGCTATGACATCAGCCATTTGAGGGCTTGAAAGTTTGGCTGAGAGCTGAAATAAGCACACTGGCAACCTTGACAGTCGGCACGTCTTGCGTAACTGTTTTGGGTCAAGTTGGCGGGTAAAGTTCTTTTTTAAATGACTTTCGGAGGCACTGACTTCTCTGGGACAGCCAACCTAAGTGTCAAATCCATAAAACGCAGTGCGCCATGTTTAATGACCACCCCCAAACACCCATGTGTAGGGGTATTCACTGATTCCTGTTGGCCGCACATTTAGGATGGTGATATAGCGCCAAGGTAAGGCTTCTCGGCCTAGCATACCCCCACTCTTTAGTGTTCACAATATTGACCTCCAGGGAAACCTCCCAGAGACGTCAGATGTCGCCCTCTCCTTCACATATAATGTTGTAGACTGTGGTGCATGTAAGAAGCAGGTGAAAGATAGAGAGACTGGCCAGGAAGACGAAGTTACCCTGAAAAATGAATGGGAAAGGGGGGAACCTGTCTTAAGGCCCCCCGCCCCTCATAGGATGGTGACAGTTTGTAGTTTCTTGCCTCCCCCTTTCTGTCAGCTGTTACACCTGGGGCTCAGTCAGCTGACCCCCCCAGAACTTTCTGGAAGGATCAGTGAAGCGCGCAGTACTGCATTACCGTACGTTGTGTTGAGGGGAAAAACCTAGTGCATGAATGCGGTTTTTTACAGCAATGCGCAATATTGTGGCCCCACGCTGCAACGCACGCCTCGAGGTGTATTGGGGTGCCAAATAAAATGTAATGCAGCGCATTGTTGGATAGCGTTCACTAAACGCACCGGTAGCGTGACTTTCATGCATTGCTGATGTAACTGGTCCTTAGTGTGAACTGCTTGGCACGTTTTCATGCACTTCGTGTTATAGAACTCTGCGTGTGTGCACTTATGGAGATAAAATGAACGTCACACTGATCCACCGGCTTCAGAACGTTTGCTTTCACAGCACCGCAAAAGAAAAGCGGGAGCATAGGTGGCACTATCCATCTATGAAGCTCTTGTAATCGATATTTGTGATCAGAGAACAGCGCACTCTATATTATCACTTCCTATTACGGGACGAGCGCTGACAATGTAAGTAAGCCCCATCATCATCAGCGATACCCGAACACCCCGCGCAGGGCATACTCTTCAACCTGCTCAGCCACAGGAGGAGGCGTGGCCGCTCTCCACGGAAACCGCTCCGCCAATCGGAGCGCCACAAGCTGTTTACGAGGGCGGGGCGTTGTTATGGCTCCCTGAGAATCCTTTCAGAGCCGCTGGTACTTAATGCCTGGCAGCAGATATATCAGAAAAAAAAAAGCTGGCAGGGCAATAACTCATCCGAGGCTCGCCAGTGTCTCCTCTGCTGTGTTCTGGAAGTTTCTTCTCCATTCTGCACCCACCCGATCCTGATCATCTGTCCTGCAGGTAAAGAGGACCTGTCCACCCTCCATCTGCATGCTGCACCCCACTTATAACACAACTTCTCTCCTCTTCTGGCTGCGACATGTAAGAGACATTGGTTGGCTGTGTGTAGGGAATGGGTTGCCGATGTGGCAGAGCTTAGATTAAATGGCCAGTGTGCTGCACAGGTGACAACTGTATGTGAGTCTGAGGGGGTTGGCAGTGCTGAGGGTTCTGTGGAGTCCATCGTGCAAGGAATGTGAATCAGGAGCATCAAGTGGCTGATTTGTCTTCCTATTAATGAAAAAGGAGCTTTCCTCCTAAAGGGCTGTTTGATGGGATGTAGCTGACCTATACACAGTACATTGGGTGCCATATGTTGCTGAAGTGTAGCTTGTTCCGCCGTTCCCTTTCATCTCCCATATCTGTCTTGGATCGGTTGCACCCCATAATCAGCGATGATCTGTTATATTCATTGGACACCCCATCGGGGCAACAATTTTACTGAAGAAGCGTCACCTGTTGCTATTATCATCAGACATCCCATGGTGCTCTCTCAATTCATAATTTGTATTGAGAAAAAAGAGAAATAGAATATGACAAAATGAGGGTACGGAAGGCAGGCCACTAAGAAATGTTGGGGTGCATTGGTTCAAATGAGGTCATGTGGCTTGCATTGAAGTTGCGTGTATATATATATATACACACATATATATGTGTTAGTGTGTTTTTGTTTGAATGTGGCCATGTGACTTTCATTGAAGTTGTATATATATAGAGGTTAGTGGGTATTTGTTTGAATGTGGTCATGTGAATTGCATTGAAGTTGTATCGATATAGGGTGGTGGGTATTTGTTTGAATGCGGTCATGTGACTTGCATTGACGTTGTAGCTATATATGTTGGAGGACATTCTTTGATTGTGATCATGTAATTATACCTTCCATACCCCATTTCTATCTTTGATCATTTGTACCTTATTGTCAGCGTTGACCGGTTACATTCATTAAGTACTCCACTGGGACCAACAATCTTGACTTTATACTGAACCAGTCTGTCACCTGTTGCTATCATCATTGGACAGCCCATAGACAAAACAAAGTATTGACAAAAAAGAGAAATTGAATTTGTCAAGATGAGAGTATGGAATGCAGGCCACTGATAAATGTTGGGATGGATTGGTTTTAATGTGGTCATGTGACTTGCATAGACGTTATAGCTATATGTGTTGGAGTGCATTTGGTGGAATGTGACTTTCCCTTCTATCCCTGCACCTTTCTTGGATCACGTGCACCCCATAGTCTGTGTTGACCTATTACTGGTATTAATGTTATTCATTCAGCACCCCACTGTGACTAAAAATCTTACCTTTTTCCTGAAAGAATCTGTCACCTATTGCTATCATCATTGTGCTGCCCTTGGTGTTCTCTCAGCTCTTATTTCGTATTAACAAAAAATAGAGAAATAGAATCTGGCAAGAAAAGCCGGAAGAGAATGCAGGCTGCTGAGATATGTTGGGGTACATAAGTTTAAATGTGGTCCTGTGACTTCAACCAAATATATAGCTATATAAAGCAATAATAGATATTGTTGTAGAAATACAACATATAGACGGAGCTGATGTATTAAACTCTCATTTTAGTATTCTAAGTCTTGTGCCGTTTAAATATTTTGGTCATTTGTTAGATTTGCTGCTATGTCTTTATTTAATGGAGTCTGGTTGAGATTAAGGGGTGACTGACCAAGTGAAGTTAGGGAAATCATGAGCAGCAGTTCCTACAGTTCTTCTATGCCTTGGCACTTGATTGAATGTTTAAAAATCACTTCATGAAGTAAATCAGCCACCAGCCATCCACTTCATTCTCCCATCGCAGTTATCACAAGTGTTTGGATATGCTCAATAATCCAATTTAGTTAAAGAGTTAGCTGACATTACAGCCAGCACTTGTCCCCAAGACTTTGTTTGTGGCATAGTCTTTAATTTTAGATCTTGTATAGTGATATATGAATGTATAAATAGAAGGAGGAACGTTGACTACGTCAGAGGATGCATTTGTAGGTTCTTGTTCTCTGCAAGGCCAGTAATACATTCATGTATACCCATAGTGCAATAACTTTAGAGTACTATTTTGTGTCTGCAAATGGCTTTCCGAGGTTTCAATGGAAAATTCTAGAGGAATTGTATGACCACTGCTATGTCATTGATCACAGTTGCAATGAGCGTTTGGGCCATCCCCGTCTAGTGGGTGTGAGACTTTCACTCTGGGAGGCCTTGAAGGGGGGTGAGCAAATATTCCTACCACCTCTCCCCAGCACCGTACAACACGTCCTGTTGGTTTCTTTAGCTTGATGATCTCCATATCAGGGTTTTCCAAGTCTTATTGCTAAAGAGTGGTTGTCATTTGAAATTTTTCCACAGGTCAGGGAATATAAGAGTGATGTTTTAATGGCATAATAAATACTGTGCCATCCACCTGCTTTTTCTGTGTAATACCATCTCTCTATTGCAAAGTACATCCTGCCAAATGTGACATTTGTAATACAAACTATATATTTGTGTTTTAGGAAAAGTCTTTTGACCCCTGGGGCTCTTTGAATGTTTGATCTGCCAACTGCAGCTCCCACAGACATGGCAGAAAACTGGCTGACCTACCAGACAGAGGGAGAAGTAGGTCACGAGAACATTTCTGGCTCAGTCAACTTAGATGACAGTCTGACCAGTCTTCAGTGGCTGCAAGAATTCTCTATCATCAATGCGAATGTGGGGAAGACCCCTTCATCATCTGGAGACCCCCATGGGTATCGTCAGTTGCCTGGCTCAGCTGCTCCCTGCTCCCCTTTAGCTGCGGATCCAGCCTGCTTGGGAATGCCGCACACCCCAAGCAAACCCACGTCTTCATCTACTTCGAGGGCGGCTCTCCAGGGATTTCAGCCCATGGAGGAGATTGACTATAAGACCAACCCGCATGTGAAGCCCCCTTACTCCTATGCCACCCTCATATGCATGGCAATGCAAGCAAGCAAGAAGACCAAGATCACACTCTCCGCAATCTACAAGTGGATCACAGATCATTTTTGCTACTTCAGGCATGCCGATCCTACCTGGCAGGTAAGGCAATCATCCTAGTCATATTATCAAAAATATTATATATATATATATAGCTGCCATGTATTTGAACAATTTGAACATGCAGTTATAATAAGGTGACCCCTCCATACATTCACTCCTGAATTACTATATTGCATCTTCAAAACTGTCACTGATTCTGCGCTTGCAGTTCTAAAGCAACAAGGCATGCAGCCGGCATCTCTTTGCTTCTTCCATTTGTCCCCTGTGTATAATTACTCTCAGGTTCCGTGACTCCTGGGTTACTATTTTGTACATCCTGCATCCCAGAGCATCACTATTGTTACATTAACCCTCAAATCCTTCAAGCATGTATTTGTGTAACTATTCAGAAACAAATTGCAGCACAAGGGTTAATGCATGCATAACAATGGTAGGTCACTGCAGGTTCTTATACAGGGTCAGTAACTACACTGCCATATATCAGTGTACTATTAGGCTGTGAATGTCAGGCCCCTTCCCGCCCCCTGTTCTGTAGACTCTGTGTGGCCCTGACACACCATTGTCTAATAGTAATGGTAATGACTTTGCTTTAATACATTTATTGAAGGTATCATCTATCTATCTGTCAGTTTATCTATGTATGTGTCTATCTGTGTATCGTAACCCATGTGCATGCGCATGGAGGAGGTTTTACCCACACAATAAACACTTTTCTAATGGTAGAAAATGAAAAATACTCCCCCTACTAGACTTGGACTTTACTGGTTTAATTAAACATTGATAGTGGGGGGGAATCCCAGAAAGACACAGGTGGCATGGATGGAGACTGCTGAGGCAAGAATGATAAATATGTTTAACTGGCCAAGCAATAAGCATCCCGAGTACAAGCAGGGAAAGCAATGAATAGAAAAGAGAGGTGGGGGCTGCGTAGTTTGCTCTCCCCCTTGTTAAATTTCATTAAACAGTAAATAGCGGATCAGTAAGATCCGGGAATCCTGTGGCTTGGGGAAAAAGAGGAGGGGGCGTTGCAGGACTATTCCTATCTGACTTGTAAAGTATTTCAGAACTTACTTCTTGCCCTTCTCTTAAGAAGGAAAGGGGTGAACTAAGACTGTGCCAGTCAAAATGTTGTTGGGCCCTCTCCAAGACTCCTACACACATCAGCCTATTATTTATACTCTCTTTTTATCTTGCTCCTGTAAGGTAGACTTTGAAAAGGGTTAGTGGCCTCTTCTGTTCCACACAGAATTATGGGACGCTGCTTTGCATTTTTATTGGGCTACACAAACACCATGCCCTAAAAAGTTGCTATACTAACTATATTACTACAAAATATATATAGGTATAAAAAAAAAGGTTGCAGCTTATTTACTGGTCTTGCTAAGGCAATGGTGAGATTCTTCTTGTAAGAAACATAAAAATGTATACTTGATTGGCTGCCAAGGTAACCGCCTCCTTGCACTAGTTTCTACAAGTAAACCCCTATATAACATTTAGATTGTGGAACTCTCAATATTTACTTTGGAAAATGACGTTATGATTAATTCATGTCTAAAAATGAGTTTTCTACATATGATTTGCATTAACTATATACACATGTCTGCTAAATTGTGCTAACCTTCATCAATTTTACTTGTTCCAGAATTCCATAAGGCACAACCTTTCTCTAAATAAGTGCTTCATTAAAGTTCCTCGAGAGAAAGATGAGCCAGGAAAAGGTGGATTCTGGAAGATTGATCCCCAGTATGCTGACCGTCTGATGAATGGTGCCATTAAGAAGCGACGGCTACCACCTGTCCAGATCCACCCAGCTTTTGCTGGTGCACAGTCTACTCCTTGCTCAGATAGTAGTATGAGCCCCTTTTGGCCATTGAGTATAAACTCAGAGTCTCATCAACTACTAAAGGAGTTTGAGGAGGCCACAAGTGAACAAAGCTGGAGTTCTACTGGGGAACACATCTGGAATGTGACAGATGGCAAAGGTCACAAGCGCAAACAGTCAATACCAAAAAGGATGTACAAGACACCCCGTCTGTCCAGTTCCCCATTGTTATCACAGGATGAACAGGCCGAGCTGGGATCCCTTAAAGGTGATTTTGACTGGGAAGTCATCTTTGATTCCACCATTAGCGAAGCCAACTTTGCATCCTTTGAGGATCTAGAAGGAACACCTCCATTGAGTCCAGTCACCAAGTCTGTTGACCTCACAGTTCACGGGAAGCACATTGATTGTCCTCAACAGTGGTACCCCATGAGGCAAGAGCAAGCAGTAGTGCAAAACAGTTTGGATTTCGATGAGACATTCTTGGCCACTTCATTCCTCCAGCATCCTTGGGATGAAAGTCGAAATGATTTCCTATCTAATTCTGCCAACCTAGATCAACTCTTTGACCTCAACGAGGAATTTCCTCCAGGACTCAACGACTGGGCCTCCATGGGCTCCTATTTATAACAACGGTGCCATCTAGAACTCTTAGAGACACATAGACATTTGTATTATAGTTCATATATAAATATA